TCAATTTTCCCAAGTCTCCAGCAGCATGATCACCTGTGCCATGGCTTGGGAAGCTACAAGGAAACAGCCTGTTGGCCAGTCCAGCAAAGCCAATCCTGGGCCCCCATCCTTAGTGGCTACCACTAGCCACCAGACTTCCAGAGATGCCAGGCTCTGTCGAGCCCCTCGCCCCCTTCCTTCCTCCTCCTCCCTACCCGCTTCCAATCCCACCCCAAGCAAAAGCAATTGGGTTCTTTTATATCAAAAGAGCAAAACACCAAAATGGAACTTTAGCGAGAGCATCGCTCTTTACTATCCAAGCCACGCGCAAGCCTTCCTGTCACCTATAACCAGGTGCCTTGCACTAAGTGGAAAATAAACAAGGAACCAGGAAAAAAAAAAAAAGTCAAGATTGCAAACTGTCTTGCAATGAGGCAATATCTTACAAAACTTCAAACACCCATATCATTTGATCCAGCAATTAACTTTTACATTATTTCTTACAGCTATCCTTCCACATATCTAAAATGACATTTGTATATGTTTAATTTCAGCAGCATGTTCTGAAGATTAGAAGAGGAAATAATCTAAGTGTACATTAAAATAGTAGAGGTTAAATAAATTATGCTACAGGTCCATGTGCCTTACCACCCTTGGATCCAGATATGATTCGAAACAGAGTTTTCTAATTTTGCAAAGGTCATACATTATATATACTGTATATTATATTATATATATATATATACACACACACACACACACACACACTGTATATACTGTAACACCTTCAACAGAGTCTAGGTAGCTCTCACTAAAAAAAAAAAAATTAAGATTTTTGTAGTAAAACATAAATAGTCACAGTAGGTAGGATAAATAAAGACTTAAAATAGCTTCATATCATTTCAGGTCAGGGTTTGCTCCTCAATTAGTTCATGTCAGGAAAAGTTTTGCTGCCAAATTAGTTAAAGGGAAAAAAAGTTTATGAAGCTATTTGTGGTTTTTGTTGTTGTTTGTTTTTGGTGTTTTTTTTTAAGCTGAGCCATCCTGCCACCTGTTGGCAGCTCAGCGGCTGCTCAGCTCAGGCCGGGACTCGAACCACTGTTGCTCAAAGCTCAAACTCTTGAGTGAGCTCTTAACCAAATGAGCCACTCGGCTGGCCCCTTATCAAGCTTTTTGAATTTTTAAAT